ACCTCGACAAGTCCAAGCAGGCCCTACGCCTCGCCGGCCTCATCGACGCCGCCGACCGCTACGTAGGCGGCTCCGCCACCGTGGTCCAGGTCGGCGACGTGCTCGACCGCGGCGGCGACGAGCTAAAGATCCTCTACTTCCTGGAGAAGCTGAAGCGCGAGGCGGCGCGCAGCGGCGGCGCAATCATCACGATGAACGGGAACCACGAGATCATGAACGTGGAGGGCGATTTCCGCTTCGCGACAAAAGGCGGCGTGGAGGAGTTTAGGGTTTGGTGGGAATGGTTCGGAATTGGGAACAAAATGAAGAGCCTCTGCCACGGTCTGGAAAAGCCCATTGACCCAATGGAAGGCCTTCCCTCCTCCTTCCGCGGCGTCAGGGAAGAGTTTCACGACGGCTTTCGGGCCCGTGTGGCGGCATTGCGGCCCAACGGCCCAATTTCGAAAAGGTTCCTCACGCAGAACGTCACCGTTTTGGTCGTTGGCGACTCGGTTTTCGTGCACGGCGGGTTGCTTCCGGAGCACACTTCGTACGGCCTGGAGAAGATCAACGAGGAGGTTCGGGATTGGATTAACGGTTCCACGGGTCGGTTTTCCCCGGAGCATTGTCGTGGCATAGACGGCGTCGTTTGGGTTAGGAAATTCTCGCGCGGGGATGACCGTGATTGTGATTGTTCCGCTCTCGAGCATGTTCTTGCCACCGTTCCCGGCGTTAAGAGGATGGTCATGGGGCACACCATTCAGACGGTTGGCATTAACGGCGTTTGCGACGACAAGGCCATTCGGATCGACGTCGGTTTGTCCAAGGGTTGCGGTGACGGTTTGCCTGAGGTTTTGGAGATTAGCGGAAATTCGGGGTTACGGATATTAACCGCCAATCCGTTGTATCAGAATCAGGGTGCTTTGGATGTGGGCAAAGACCATGTGTTGCTTGGTGAACACGGTGCTCCTAGGCAAGTCGAAGTTCAGGCTTAAGGTCCTTCATCTGGTAAGTCATTTATTTCCTTTCAATTTCGTTTCATCATTAATGTAGGTCTCACCATTTTTATGTATTTTATCAAAGTTGCAGAGACTGCCATCAATTGGTTCAACCTTTTTCTTTCTTCTTCATTGCTTGCTTGATGTATTGCCTGTAGTCATGTCTACTAGCGTAGAATGTTTCTGCACTATATATTCTTACTTAGTATATGCATACAGTTTCTGCGGTATGTCTTGCTTTTTCTGTTGGAAACTCACAACGAAACACTCTGTTTAAAGCATAAGCTGCAACAAAACTCTTGCATTAAGTTCATGGATGCATTTGGAGATAAAGTGAGACTGTTGTTTGATTAGAAGCACGTGGCAGTTTATAAAAAAATTGATGCATTTATACTAATCCACAATAGGAATTACTTTTATCTTCATATTTAGTAGAATATTATATCATTTTATTATTTACAAATTAATATTTTTTTTATCAAATTTAAAATTGAATTCAAGACGGTGACAATCGAATAACTAATTGCGCCATTAGTTAAATCAACATATTTTTATTATTTAATCTCAAATTTTATTTTATTTATAATAAAAATATGAAATACTTGGATCTCTCAATTTTAATAATCATCCTTTTTTTATATTATTTTCATTTGTGATCGGACAATTTTACTTTTAAATAAAATATGTTTTTAAAATTACTCGTTTTATAATAATTAATGGAATTAAGCTACTTCGTGTCTCTAAAAATAAAATAATAAAAATATATTGATCTAATTAGTATTATGATTAATTCATTAATTTTAAGTTCTTAAATTTGATTAAAAAATATTTTTTAATTTTTTTTAAATAAAAAGGTATAATAGTAAAAAAAATGGAAATCAAGTTGGTTACTGAAGAGGGTATTCCCTTTATATATTAGTATAGATAAAAAAAATTATTCACCCACTAATCTATATAATTATATATTTTTAAATCTTATTTTTTATTATTATAACTTTTAATATATAAAAAAAATATAGAGACATAGGAAGAGTCTCTTTTTCTATTAATAAACAAAGGAAAAACAAAGTCGTTGAACGCAAAAGCAAAAAACTCCCATTGTAATAGCGAAGACTTTTGTCATAAACTTCTTATGGAAGGATTCCTTGATCAAAATCAATTTATTAACCATATATAACTAGAGTTTGTCACGTTGGACTCAACGTTTCATTGTTAGATTCAGTTTATGTCCATAGTTATGAAAATGATGACAAAAAAGAGTTGGCAGACGATAAACACACCTCCACTCTCGTATAAATACACCCTCTTTTTAAAAAAATATATATATAATGTCTAAATTACCCTTAAAAAAAATAAAATTTCTAAATTTACACCCTCCTTCCCGCACCCCACAGCCCCCTTCCCCGTACCCCCACACCCCACATCCCCTTCTTCCTAAAGCCCCCCTTCTTTGTAGTCCGCAATTCGCAATTGCACCCTCAAATTTTCTACAGTGGCCAGTCTCTATTGTTCCCAGAAGCACGAGGCCCC